GCGCGCGTCACCTATGTCGCTCGCAATACTAGCGCGAGTAATCACTTTCCTGGAAACCGAATCGGACTTCAATGAGACAATGCGCTTGAAGTTTTCCGTCGTCTGCTCCCTTGCCTTTTACGGGATGTGTCAAATAAATGAAGTGCTGCTCATGAAGAAAAGAGATATTCAGCTCGGACTTTGGCGCAAGTCACGCAAGAACGACAAGTAGATCGAAGTTGGATGTTCCACAATACGCGCCCGAGAAACAGACAATGATGTACCGGCTAGTCGCACATACTCTTTTCATCCTTCTTCAAGGATGAGCAAGCTACAGAGGCTTTGCAGTACGTGAAGAGATGGTTTAAATATGCATGTACGCGGTTAAAGCACAAGTGGGTCAGTAGTGACTACGCGCTCCCATCACTGACAAAGGTTTTCCGCGGCGGTGCTAAACGTCCGAAGAGCTCTCTCGCTAGCGCCAGTCCAAGTGGGACATTTGGGAACGCTATCGCTAAATGGGGCGCTCCAATGTCGGACAGCAACTTCACTGAGATTTTTAACATTGTCGCCAATGCAGCTGGAATCATCAAGAATATCCTTGGGAATGACTTCTAGTTTACATCACGTTGCATTAGGCGAAGCGGGGCTCAGAACAGATTTATGTTCGCTCCTGAACAAAGCCGCTGGTCTAAAAGTTGGTCAAGTAGTGGGCAGGATGGACGCCAAGTGAAAAGGGTAAGAAAGTAACACGATATCTGCTAGACGACGTTCTAGATCGCGAGGAAAACTAACTTAAGGATTTACTGACCCCTGATGCGACTATACCAGCCAATGGGCCCCTTCACGACTTCGCCTACAGCTGCGCTAAGCCTAGCAACAGTTTTATTTCGGATGAGGCTGGTGATGTGCCTAACGAATATGTTCCCTCCTCTCGCTTTCAATCGTAGGAGATTTCAAAACTGCAATTCTAGCCGAACTTCGCGATATGATGAAATCCATTATCTCGGGCCAGCGCTCGACTCAACGAACGGAAAATGACGAAGGCGGGGGCATCATGGAACCTGAAACGGGTCATTTAGCGAATGACTCTGCGAGCTTGATGTCGGAGCGACCAGACGCTAAAGGATGGCGGAAGTACGTTAGCCAGTACTGGTATGCTAATGCGGCATGCCACCAGTTCAGAGCTGACGTTGACATGCTTTCACATGAGCACAAGTTACGTCGATCGCGTCTTTCTCGAATTAAAATCATCGCTGAATATGTCCAAAAAAAGCACGCCGATGACCACGACCAATTCGAGGCGGATTTTGAACTTTGCATTCATGGCGACCTAACAGTAAATAAAGTTCTTGCAGAGATTAGAAAACGTAAACGAGTGTAGCCATCGTTCTCAGAATTGCGATCTCGGTCTCAACTGTGCAGTCGCTCAATAGTGTGCAGTCGTCCTCAAAAGGGCGATTGCAAAAACACTACATTTAATTATTGTCGGCCTCAAAAGTGCAATTGGCCTCAAACGTGAGGGTGAAGATCTGCGATGATAAATGTTTCAAGGCTAATAAACACGCATAGAACTTAAACGTATGCTTTATGTAGTAATGCCTCGCCGTGCATATTGCCTATTCTGATGACTCTGCTGAAACATTGGTACTAGGTTGGTATTCTTTGTCAGCTGAATCGTTTGAGTTGTCACTTCGATAGTCATCACCGAAGTATATACTGTCGACCGGAAACGGTTGCATGCATGCAGGGCACTTGAAGTGTGTTGCACGCTTTTAGCTGAGGCTCACCATGGGGAATACACGTAAACACTGAATGCCGCATTGGTGCGGGCACAAAGGGCCCTCCTGTGTAATGTCCCCGTTCTGGTCATTATGTCCGCAAATAAAACACGTCGGCCGAGCAGGGATATGACGCACAATAATTACTTCATCATCTTTAGCCTCCAGATCGATATGCGTGCGACAGGCGGGAATCTTTTATCATGCTCAAACAACCGTCCAACCCAGCTACGGTGGTGCAACTGGCGACAGTCGTTGCACACCATAATTCATGCTATCTATCTCACTCGTAGCAGATGAGACAATCTACAGCATCTTTCATAGTATTTTCCACAGAATCGACCACAGTATCGTCCACAGAAACTTCCACAGAAACTTCCTCTGCTTCTTCACATGACTGCTGTACAGTTTCGTTTCGCGACTGCTTCATGGTTTCGTCAAGTTGCTGCATCGACAGTTCACCAACTGCAGCCCATCATCATTGACGAATTCAGCAAATTTTGTCAAACCAGTTCCAGTCTACATCGGGTACGCTGATATTGCCGTCGGGAGCATCGCCACTTACTGTGCTGTCATCATTGTTGAGTGTTTTGTTATCCAGTGATGTCTCATCAGTTTGTAAAGTACCACCATCATGAGCATCAACTTGTGGCGCACCATCATCCTCGTGTAATAGATGGTCCAGAATGTCAGATTCTTGCCTTTTCTGCTCACCCCCGACACACCCTCTGCGACGTCGACGGTACTCTGCGTCGCGGTAGCTCCGCTGCTCTGCCATATCTTTTTTTTTGCGATTGGTCCTTTCCACTTCCGTCATGCAGTGGCTCGATCGCTTGTGGCGCTCCAGTTGGTAGCGGCAGTCTTTAATCCACTGACAGCACACGCCACATATCCGAAATGGTGGGGCTGGCATCCCAACATGGCTTTTGGAGGTGTCGACTAAAATCGTCGGCTCTGAAAACCTGGTGATGACACGTTTCGGAGACGTGCTCTAAGCTTCCATACAGTAGATCACAAATGTCCATCCTAATAATAATAATAATAACAAACATTTTTAAGTACATAACATTACGTTGCTACAAAAACTAGTCCTCTCACTGGTCGCACATGCGATTCTTGGTCGGCGCACCTGGAGCAGGGGGCTTCGCAGTAAATTCGACAATAAAGTCCTATTGTCAGCAGGCGACGGATTTCAATTCTGCGATTTTGTGGCGGTACGACACCCAGCGTCCGCCTCTATATACCTACCCTTAGTGGGTATCTATAGACCAAGGTTCATTTCTCATGTCGCACTCCACATCAAATATACGTAATTTCGAACAAGTCGCGAGAAGTCCTACTTCCGTGCCAGGCGTCATCATTGTCGCTGGAGGGCTGACCGGAGGTGTGCTTGGCGGAGTGCCTGACTGCGCCGTCTCGCACGCGTTCACCAGTTCAGTAGACAGTCTACCTAGAATTGTTTGCGTGCTTGTTTCTAGAACTTGGTAGCCGACTTGTCCATTTGTTGCGGCTCAGACCAGCAACTGCCCACTTGGTTGCTGCGCCTCCAGATGTTTCTCCGCTTGATGCCCAGGCTCAAGTTGTACTTCATCTTGGAGCAGGCAGCAATCAGATGGAAACCGACACCATCACTATTCATGTAGCTGAGCTCCCCAGCACAGTAGTCCAACGATTTATGCCCCATGTTCTAGTGCGCATCGTTGATGGGCTCGGCCGCGGCCTTTCGATTGCCCACTGCAATTGCGTTAGGCTTGGCTGTCCTGGCTTGTACAGGGTTCTTCGTGACGCTCGTGCCCCGCGCCATGATTTGCGTTTTGCTCTTGAAGCCAAACATGACGATCGGTTTCTGCTCAACCTTTTCGACCGTGAAGTCTCCTGGCTGGGCTGAATGCCCGAGCCCTACTGATGGACAGGCAAAATAGCCAGGACCTTGTCGAGCATAAGATGGAATGGTATGGGCTTCCCACCCAGAGCCTTGACGATCTTTGTGTTCGTTTGCTCGCGAGCGCCTTGAGTCGCTGAAATAGGTGCGTAGAGCTCTTGAAGTCAGAATTAGCCACTCTCTTGAAATTGTGCACCTGCGCTACCAAACCGGACGGAGTGTTGGGATTATGATGGGGTTACACGCAGGCGGCTACACATAGCTACTTGGCTACGAAAGAGGATTTCCACGTGTGAGATACACCAATGCCTTAATTGGGCAGACTGTCGGTCTGCATGCATTTAGGGCATTCACCGGCTGAAAGTCCATATATTAGACCAATTAGAATAGTAGGATTATGTCAAGCATTCGATAATAAATACCTTTCATTTAAATTTTTGGATTAGGAGGAAACCCCAAACAAATACTCTTATTTTACTGGAAATCGGCTTTAATTTCCTATTTAACTAAATACATACTTCCGGACGAAAGAATAGTTAATCTAAGTGAACGCAACTTCCGCTTCCTCATACACGTGCGCTAACGTGTAACCCGAAGTAGTGGGCTTATAGTAGGCCCATTACAGAGACCGAAACGTTTCTCAACGACCCCCCAGATCACATGGACGGGCTCACGCATAAGCCGTTCGTCAGTGAAATTTCTTGGCATCGTTTGTTTCAGAAACCCCTTGATGCAGAATCTATGTCCTCTGATCAGCGCTTCCTGCAGATCGTGAGTATGCATGCGTTCCGGCGTACGCTCTCCTTCCATACCATCGTCCGACGGAATTTGAGCAAATCCTCGTAGCTCATCAGTGGCATCGTACAATTATGCTGGAGCTCAACAAGTGCGAAGGCGTCGCTCCTGGTAGTCAGATGGGCCACAAACTTGTCCTTCCAACCACCTGTTCGCTAGAGCTGCACCGTATGTATGCACCTTAGTAGGCTTGTTCATCATACTTAAAATGTTAGATTGAACTTTGTAAAGGTTCTCAATACCGGTTATTTGTTTTCTCTTAGCTACCTAGGCTTTTTTTGATGTGCAAAGTTTCAGGTACAGTAGCTGATGTATGTTATGAAGCATAATACTAGTACCGGTATCAGCAGAGCGAGCCGGTAGTAAAGTGAGTAAAATCAAATTTTTGTACGAAACGTAAGAGCAAGCTGCTCACATGTCAAATAATAAAAATTCAATAGACCTAATGAAAACCTATTAATAGCTGCAGTTTTACCGGCCGATCTCAAGCCGATTTTAAAAATAAAACGGAGAAACCCCAGTTTACCGGTAGGTTGGTTAAAGTTAGTTTTAAAGAATTTCGCTTACACCAGTTCAAGAGCATCAAAAACGACTGAAGCTGCCAGGAACTTCTCGGACGGATCTGTCGCGCCACTTGCGACAGTGAGCTTGATCGAGTTGGTACCCGTGGCCAGCGCCGATGACGGAATCACGTACTCGTAGAGATTATAGTTGCCCACAATCACACCTCGGGTGACGCCTCGAGTCTTCACAGCAACCGAAGCGGGAACTGCAGCCGTCCACTTTCCATTCACCGTCACACTCGATCGACCGCTGCTCTGGGCGAGTGTGAGACCAATTTTTAGCGTTCTCGAAACTTTCGCCTGTGCTGCGGTCAAAAACTGAAGTTGATCGTGATTGGGTCGTTTACTCCGCGGAACTGGGCCATCGAGAAAGCACTGTCAGCGTCCGACCCCGCCTTAAAGGTCATAGTCTTCCAAGCAGACATGCGATAGTCACTTGGGTGCATCTTGTGGATCTTGTCGGCGTTGAGAAAGCCATCAGGAGTGCCATCCCATGCACCAATGCGCCAAATTGGCTTCGAAGTCATATTCAACGATACCGAAATGCTTTGAGTCTTTGTCGCTCCTGCATTGATAAGATAAGATGCCGTACCAACTGCCAATTGCTTCTTGTACACCGTCGCCGTGTAGTGACCAGCTTTCATTAGGGGTGACGTGAAGGTCTTCTTCCCAGCAGCTACCTTCACCCAGTACTGAGCAGCAGCGTTTGAGAACCCAACGACGACGTCAGAGTTACCCAACACGTCCTTAGAGTCAGTGATCGTGCCTGTCATCTTCCCTCGCTTCGCGGAAGGTACAAACCCAGTGAGGCCTAGATTTTGGAAGAAGCTGAAGTCGAGCGACGAAGCCGATGGGGCCGCGCCATTGGTGAAAGCCAGGGCATACGGTCCGTGGAAACCGTATCGGTAATCCTCCGTTCTCGTGTGATCCGAGTTCATATAGAACGTAAGCTCATTGGAGACGTCAAGCTTGTTATTGATGTCGCGGAAGAACGGACCACCGCTGGACGTCTCGTAGCCCAAATCCGAGATCACGAAAGACGCACCCACCGCGTTACTTTTCACGCCGTAGACAGCGTTGTCGATGAATGGTACAGCGGAGTAGTACTTAGACCGCGTCAGGCCTTTACTATTCTGGACGACGTCTTCAGCTTCGATAGCAGTCATACCTGACTCAATTGTGGCTTCCGTGATGCCCGTGTTGACCACCGATTTATCCAGACGAGCGAGGAAGCGGAGCTCTGGAAGTACAAGGTCATTTGAGTGATGTGTTCCCATGTAGATGACGTTCTCGTTCGGACGGAACAGGTACGTCTGCTCCAGACCGGTTTTCTTGCAAATAACGCGGATAGTTTTCTTGGAGTCACTTAAAGTTTTGAGTTTACGTGAGTTGCCTTGGACTTGTACTGCAGCTCCTTGCCATTGTAGTTGATTGACGTGATGTCACATGTCGACTGTTTCATGGTGACGGTCAGACCTTTTCCGGTGCTAATAATGTACTTGTCGGAGCCTGTGGTGTATCCGAATCTTGTGGCAGCGGAAGGTACCGCTGTTATAGCGGAGACAATAATTAAAGCGGTGGCAAGTAAGCGCATCGAGCTAGATTGAGAAGGCTGGAGATGGACTTGATGATCACGCAGAAAGTTGGTGAATGAGCTCTCTGATCGAGCAGAGGACGGAGTAAAGGATGTAGGTAGGTGACTTCGCTGTCGCCCATGCGGTGTTCGTGAACGACGTGCAGCATCTCGAGAAGTAGACCTCCTATCTTGTTTTTATTGAACCTCAGTCACCTTACGATGTGCCGTCAATACCGCAGAAACAAATGCTTACATCGAGGCATGTTATTAATTCTCCATCTGGAGGATACATCTTTTCAGCTCAAAAGTGTTAATAGCTAGAAGTATATTAGCTCTCACAACAATTATCATCGAGCTAGCAGCTCGATGATAATTGTTGTGAGAGCTATGCTATTAACACTTTTGGAGAACAACGCGGTGGGAAATGTATATATACTTCTAGCTATTAACACTTTTGGAGAACAACGCGGTGGGAAATGTAGGCTTCGTGATGGTCCTTGAGCTCGCTAACTCGTTATAACAACGAGATGTGTATTTTAAGCATTTTCATTACTTCAGATTAAAGTGTTATCGGACTGTTTCCACGTTTTCCCGCTACAGACCTTTACATTGACTACTAGCGAAACAGCTGCAACATGACGCCGAGCTGGGCGAGTTCTCTCGACTCTCGGAAGTGGTGGGTTGCTTTTCAGAGCACTGTCGTGAGATGTAGAACTGAAACTTACTACTGTAGTATATATTATGGACTGTGCCTAGATTCTTAGCAGGGAGCCCGAAAAAATAATATGCGTAAAAATTAATCATAATTTTTTAATTTAATTATTAATTTATGGCTGTCCACAACAAATGCTGAACCATTTATGCCGGATTTGGGGCATCATTGGATTACATAGATTATGATCCTTTAAGGGCTAGGGCTATCTTTGCAACGAGCATCATTGCTTGGCTACAGTAGCTGTACAGAACAAGTGCACAATGGTCATTTGAACATGTACAGTACAGTATCCAGCCTTCGCCCACGCGCCTTGCTGTCTTACGACTACATTTTATTTTTTCTGGCGGGAATTTCCTGTGAAGGCGTCAGGTCACCGTTGTACCGGCACAGCAATTCCAGCGACGCTGCTGCGTATGACAGCGAAAAGGTAGCCATGACACCCTTTACATGCACCTTCAGTCTTGAAGCTGGGGAGCACAATCTTCGCTGGGTCTACAATGCAATTGCGCAGTAATGTCACCGACGATCAGAGAAAATATCCTTGGTGTCAAGGTGGACATGACGCTATCCTGGCGGCTGGAAACCATGAATGTCATTCCCCGACTTACCAAAACCCTGCCCAAGTCACGGCAATGCAGTCGAGGGAAGACGGAAAGCGATTCATTTGCCCACTTGAGCAATGTGGACGCGGCTTCAATCGCAAGTACACACTCACGGAGCACATGAAGACCCACACAGGAGACAAACCCCATGTCTGTCGAGCAGCGGGATGCGGCCGGTGATTCGCCACTTCTAGCAATCTCGCGCGGCATATGCGTCTTCACGGACCCTTACCTCTCATGCGGTGTCTTCGAGACGGCTGCTCGCGCAGTTTCTTAAGCGACGTCCAGCTTGCGAAGCACTTAAAGTAGCACGATGCCCCCCAGACGCACGCCTGCAAAACAACCCCAATTTTGAGTAAGGTCTAGTCAAGTTACAGCGTGGGGGTGCGCTGAACGTCGCGGAAAAATTAGCCTGCGCTGAATTTAGGTCGCCTGATCTCGAACGGTCGTCTTCAAGAGCCGCCGAGAGCGTTCTATTGTGAGAGCGGCGTTCAAAAAAACGCAATTGTGCTACGTCGACGTCGCGTACATCCCGCCAACGTCTAACGAGTGTGAGCGCTTCTTCTCTCTCGCTAAGCTGGTGCTGTCTGATCTACGGAAGCGAATGTCTCCAGCCAGGCTCGAGATGATAATGGTTCTGAACTACAATCGTGACTTGCGAAGTTTTGCAAATAAATAAATTATTAATTTTCTCAGTTCACATCGATGTATTCATTTAAGTATTGCATTTTCGGGTTCCCTGATTCTTAGCGTATTTATAACAGAACCTTATACGTAGAGACCACTTTCTAAAGTGGAAATTGATCAAAAGTGATTGGTATTCAATGAAGAGCATCGGATGCTGTGTTCGTTCTAAACTTCTGTAGCTTAGCAATATGCTTAGGGTATTAAACCAGCTCGAGGGCGTCAAACACGACCGATGCCGACAGCCATTTCCCCATTGTATCCTTGTTACCACTGACAATCGATAGCACAATTTGGTTGGGTCCTTCGACCAATGCCGTCTTCGGAATAGCGTAGTCGTAGAACGTGTACTTGCCCAAAGTAACACCACGCGTGACACCACGTGTTTTCACGGCAGCACTCAGAGGAACCTTCGCCTGGAACTTGGTGTTCACAGTCACGCTGCATCGACCGTTGCTTTGAGCGAGAGGGATGCCGAGCTTTAAAGTGCGATCCTTACTGACCTGCTCCTTCGTCAGCTTAAAGTTGATCGTGATCGGGTCATTCACAGCACGGAACATCGACATCGGGAAAATCTCGTCCTTGTCCGTACCGATGGTAAAGTTCAGCGGCTTCCAGGGCTTCATGCGAGAGTCGCTGGGGTGCGACCTGTAGATCCTGTCGGCATTCAGGAAGCCTTCAGGAGTGCCATCCCATGCACCAATGCGCCAGAGCGGGCTCGGCCGCAGGCTCGTACGTGACCGTAAGAGCCTTCGCACTATCGGCCCGGAGCCGAGCCACTAGCGATCGTGATCGGCTCCGAACTGACAGGGAGCTGGTTCTTGTAGATGGTGGTGTTGTAAGTTCCAGGGACCATCTTAGGCGACGTGAACGGCTTCGTGGTGGAATCCACTTTCACCCAGTACTGGGCGTCGGCGTTGGAGAAGCCAACAACAACACTAGAGTTGCTCAGCACCCCGCCCTTATCGGTGATAGTACCGGTCCAGGTGCCACGATCCGTTTCCGGTACGAATCCGGTGAGGTTGAGATCTTGGAAGAAGTCGAATTTGACGTCAGAAACGGCAGGTTGCTTGCCGTCATTGAAGATTAGAGCGTAGGGTCCGTGGAAGCCGAAGCGGTAGTCTTCAAAGCGCGTGTGGTCCGAGAACATACACAAAGTAAGTTCGTTGGCCTCCGTGCATTGGTTGTTCATATCGCGGAAGAACGGGCCTCCCACGGACCTCTCGTACGCGTAGTCCGACATGATGAAGAATACACCACCAGCGTCACCCGTCACACCGTGGACCTTGTCATCAATAAACGGGATACCAGAGTAGAATTTCGAAGCCGTGATACCTTTCGAATCGGCAAATACATCGTGTCCCTCGATGGGAGTCATGTTGTCGATTTTACACTCAGGAACCATGGGGTTGTCCATTGGTTTACGTGCCAAACGCGCGATAAAACGGAGGTTTCCCATTTCGTACTCTTTCGTGTGGTACGTGCCCATGTAAATTACATTTTCGTTCGGACGGAAGAGGTAGGTGTGCTCAAGGCCCGGAGTCTTGCAAGAAATCTGGATCGTCTTGTCCTTCAGCGACTCGATAGAAGTTTTTATCTTGCCAAGACCAGAGTTGATGTGCGACTTCCTCTGCCAGGTCTGCAGTTCCGCCTTGTTCCAGATCATGGACGCGATATCGCACGTACCCTGGTCTACCTTGACGGTGAGACCGGCGCCAGAGTCAATCACCCACGATGCGCCATCTTCCTTGTAGCCGAAGCTCGTTGAGGCTGCTCTTTCCTCGAAAGACTCAAAGTTCAGGTTCGATGTCGGTTGGTTCGCTTGCACCACTGCCAGAAGTCCACTCGTCAGCAGCAAGGCTGAACGGAATAGGCGTCCCGATAGCATCGTCTTGGAAGCCTCTTTCGTCAAGGTGGGAAGATGAAAAATGCTACAGTATGATGAGTTGCGGAGGTCAGGTTTGGTCACGATTCGCAGGAGCTCCGCAAACAATCCGCAATCGAGGAGTTCAAAACGAGCTTTGCTCAACCGAATGTTGTATGAAGCCGTCCTGACTCAGCACGGGTTCTACCAAGCGAGGTAGTTTTATGTCTTGTTACAAACACCAAAAGGAATCTGGCCCTGAGTGGCTCAGCGAGTCACAGTCATTCAACTTGAGTCTAAGACTGGCTTTTGACTTTAAGTTCGAGAACAGAAAGAGCGAAAAATTTTGAAGGATAAAGCTTTATTATAATAATTAAAATCATTTATACATTTCTAAAGTACCGGTATTGTTGAGATCTGTTTGGAAGAGGTTTAAAAACATCTCCCACTAAAGTGGGATATTTGCGGAGGTACTCAAATCCGCAAGATTTTCTTGTGGATATCAGTATGAAATCAAAGCATAGCAAGCCTCATTATGTACCCCTCACATCGAGGGGGTTCTGGCGCCTTAGGTCCCTCGTCAAATGTAATCTCGGTTTCTGTTGTTATTATCATTCGGCTCAACTGGACTTTTATCGATTTATTTAAGGTTTCGTCCGATTGTGTGACCATCCAATGCATAAAACAAGCTTTATGGTGTACCCTTATGTCGGTACCCATATTTCTCGTTTTTACACCCTTGTCCGTTTAAAGTTGGGTTAAAATGCAATCAAAGTTGGCACTCAGCCCAAAATAGCGAGAGTTATGCTGTGACGGGGTCACACAGCACCTTGCGTTGGCTTCCGAGAGAATACAAACTCTTAGTGAACGGCAGCTCACAGTCCCCTTTGCCTAAGGGAGCGAAGTGACCAATTTACGGTAATGTTGTAAGCTGGATATATTTTTAGGTAGGCTAAGCTTGAGTAAAATAAACAAACTATAAGTCACCTATAGAAAAGCAGTGTCATCAGCCAATGGTCGGCCTCGGACGACCCTGGTACCATGTACCAGATCTCCCGAAGTATGACGTGTCATACTTCTGAAGTGTGATGTATCACACTTCATGTAACTAGGGGTACATTTGGGGCTGCGTACCCCGTAACATCCTCCCTGTGGCTCTCAAAGAGGGGACCTGTGAACTGCCGTTCACTGAGAGTTTGTATACTCTCGGAAGATAACTTCCTCTAGCGCAAGGTGCTGTGTGACCCCACAGGGAGGATGTCACGGGGTACGTAGCCCCAAGTGTACCCCTAGTTACATGAAGTGTGATGTATCACACAGTTCACTGAGAGTATGTATACTCTCGGAAGATAACTTCCTCTAGCGCAAGGTGCTGTGTGACCCCGTCAAGTGACCTAAATAAGGTAGATTATAAACTGAGTATATTTATAGGTAGGTTAAGTTTGGGTTTAATACAAACTATAAGTTACCTATAGAAATGCAATGTCGTTTGACCAATGGTTGGCTTTGAACGACCTTGGTACCTTGTACCAAATATCCCGGAGTATGACGTGTCATACACCTGAAGTGTGAAGTGTCACACTTCATGTAACCAGGGTACACTTAGGGCTACGTACCCCGTTACATCCTCCCCCACTTAGGTTCGGTTTACCGACCAATCAGAGTGAAGAGGTGTTCGTCACAAACTCTCATTCTCAAAGTCGAAAACCATCGACTTGGCCGCGCGAGCCCGGCGGAGGCTCACTTCACAGTTAGAGCCTCGAGCAGCAACCTGTGCGCTCTTCGTCTAGGTCCCCACTTCGACCGTTACCATGCCTCGTGGCACTGCAAAGAGCGGTGCTAAGACACGCTCCAAGGCTGCTGCCGGTAAGGCGCAAGCCAAGAGCACTAAGCCTCACGGCAAAGGCTCGGCACTCAAGGAGGCTACTCAGGTGGCCTCCGAGGTGATCGGTTCCTCGGGTGACGCGGCTGTGGTCAAGCGAGCAAGCAAGCGCCACAGTCCGTCGCCCTCTCCTTCACACAATCGTCCGAACCCTCGGTTCGTGAAACGTGAGTTCAACCCGGGCAGTGAGGACGATGCCGAGTCCGAGAGCACGCACGATGCTCCTGCGGGCTCTGTGGGAGGGCACAGCCCAGTGCCCATTGAGCACAAGGATGACATCGTGCAGTCGCTTGCTAGTGATCAAGGTGATCACAGTCCCAGAACGTCTGTGCGCTCTGAGAGTCCGGCCGTCAAGGCTAAGGGCACTCCCAAAGCCGGTGGCGATGAGGAAGAGAATCCTCGCAAACGTCTCTCGCTTGCTGAGGGTCTTGCGTGTGCTAAGGCCTCTAAAGCCGAAGGCGCCAAGCCCTCTAAGAAGCGTACAGCCTCTAAGTCTCCACTCCGCGAGGAGAAGGAGACCCAACACTCCTATCAGAGTATCTTCGACTCCTCGGATAAGGAGGAAGAAGTAGAGGAGGAAGAGGGTGCTATCGTTGAGCCCCGGGAGGTCTCGAATGACCTCGACCAGCAGCAGGAGGATTTCCAAGCTGCCCAGCGTGTGCGTGGGGGTTCGATGGCGGCACCCGTCAGCCAGGGAGCTGCCATCAACTCAAGAGGGTATTGGCCTCCCGAGGAGAGCTCTGGGGCTGACCTCTTCTTAGAGATTCTCGTCGCTCCTCGTGGCCTTGTGGGTGGCCACACTTCTAGGGGCATCTATGAGCGAGCCCTTGTTCAGAAAGAACTGTTGCTCGTTGACAACTTGGAGGCTGCTCGGTGTGTGCTTCTCGCGCCACACCGCATTCCCCTTAAGGACTTCACGACTTGTCGTAAGAAGCCCGAGACCCGGGGTGGTATCTATCCTCTTTGGAGATAGCCCTGGGTTATGCCCGAGAACTGTCCCACGTAGAGTTCTTGTGAGGACATGTTCTGGGCATGGGTGTGGACTATTAAGTACTCACCCACGGAGTTACGGGAACTCCATGAAGATCAGCTGCTGTCCCGCATCCTGGACCAGCGTGATCTTCGTGTGAGGTTTGCCCACTTGATCAGCAAGCGCATGCTGCCAAGGGACATCCTGAAGCGCGCGGCTTCTAGCGCTCACGATGAGCGTGGGTACGGAATATATTCATCGTCCGTACCCCGTTCGGGCAAGAAGCCCCGGACTACTTATGAAGCTGCCGCCGCTTCTGTTCCCAGATTGCGACAGCCTTCGGGCAGTCTATCAGGAGCCGTTCAATCGGCTCCCACGAGTTCTCGGAGTGGGCATAACCCCTCCACTTCACGAGGAGCTGCCGCTTACCGCGACGCCGTTTCTTCTGGAGGATTCGCTCCACGTGGAAGTGGGCTTCTCCATTCCGGTCAAGCAGGGGAGGAGGTGCCCTCGTACGAGTACGAGTACTCGGCGCCTCCTGAACGCCACTCGTGTCCGAGTGCTCCGACTGCGGGTCCGACGCAGGGCCCTGAGGTTGACCGCCTCCGTCAACGTGTCCTCGTGCTTGATGGATATGACAGTCCAGTATGGTTCCAATTGCTAGAGCTAAACGAAGTGACTCAAACCGCGCTACTGGGGCATATACCTCATCGCAGTCGATCCCGAATTCTTGGTGGCTACCTTGCGCAACAAGGCGTGCTTTGAATAGCTCAACTGTTATGTACGCGTAGTCTAAGTGCGTGGTCGCGCTAGTGGTTGGTGGTGCTGTAATGTGGTTTTTTTTGTTTGTCTGATGGTGTATGTGTGTTGAACGTGTCAGTGTCGTCTAGTGGTTAGGACGCGAGCTTCACACGCTCGAGATCGAGGGTTCGATCATTGCACTTGGCCTTGGGACTGGCGGCGATGCGGCCGCCCAGGCCGGGAATCAGGGCGAGCTCGCTCGTCTTGCGGGCCGCCTGGACCTGTTGGAGCGAGAGGTCGCGAGCCTGCATCTGCGGGTGGATCGCCGGGCCTCTTCGTCCGATCTGGACGAGACCTTTCGCATGATCCGACGGATCGAGGCTTTGTTGCCACGTCCGGAGCCGCCTGCGGCACACTCCCAGACGTACGCGTATGGTGCGTACCCGGCGTACTCAGCGTACTCGGCGTATGACGCCGGGGTCCGCTCATATGGAGCCCCCTCCGGCGTACGGTCTTGAACGCAGCCTTGCCGTCCCGACCGAGGCTTGGGTGCCTGCTCCGACGACCTCGTCGACAACTGTGACCGGCCCTCGCTTCGAGAAGCTGGGTCAAGGGGGGTCTGCGAGTCAGCAACCCCCTGCGAGTCAAAGTACCGCTTCAGACGTCCAACATAGAACGTCGGGTGCGTCGTCATTGACTTTGGAAGGTCGATGGTGTACGACGCACCATGTCTAGCCAGGACTGCAAAAGGTCCGATGAAGCGGTGCTTCAGCTTGTTGCTGCCGACAGAGCTGACAGAGTCTAGCGGTAGGCTCCTCGTGTCTAATAACACTAATTCCCAACCTTAAATACACTTAGGTTTCCTCTTCCATGTTTGCCAGAGTAGGCCTTTTGTCTGCCCTGGGCCGCTGTCATGGCATCGCGGACCCTGCTGACAATGCTCAGCTTGGTATCCATAAAGGTTTCCACCTGTTTCCGCAGCGAAACTGGTCTCACATCCGAGACCTGGGAGGAAGGGGCATTCCGAGCCTCTCCCCCACTTAGAATAGAAGAGTTAGTGTCTCCTCGAAGAGTGAGAGGCACTCTGGGGTGGCGGAAGCCGTTCAAGTAGAACGGCGTGAACCTCGTGGACGCGTTCACCGCGTTGTTGAGCGCAAGCTCAACAACTGGAAGCTGCGTCGACCACGTACGTGGTGCTGCCGCGCACACACTGCGCATAGTGTCCTCGAGCACTCGATTGACGCGCTCTGTTTGGCCGTCTGTCTGCGGATGATCCGCAGTGGACATCTGCAGACGAGTTCTCAGTAAAGGAAACAGCGTTTTCCAAAACGCAGCCGTGAACCGCGGGTCTCGGTCCGAGACAATCGTCTCCGGGAGACCGTGATAGCGGAACACGCCATTGACCAACAACCTCGCGGTTTGTTCGCCCGT